AATCGACTCACGCTTGGGAAATCGACTCACGCTTGGGAAATCGACTCACACTTGGGAAGCACGACGTCCGACTTTCCTCTTCTTGCACTAATCGCTTTCAACTAGCGCATGATAGCAACATCGAACATCATAACCATTGGAACCGCTGGAGTGGACGTCGGCGGCGTTGCGGTCGAACGCTCGCGCCTCGCGACGCGCTCAGCGCCCGCTGCCCCTCCCTCATCACATACCTAATCCGTACTCCTATTGAGTACCAGGGTTGCGAGTGAGTCTATACGCGCGGGTCCTGTCGCATTTTCACGCATAGCTGATAAGACAGACGTGTGCGGGCATGGCAGAGTCGCGAGAGCGGGGCCATGTCAGTGTCGGGATGGGTGCGAGGTTTGGCGGAGCGGATGGACTGCTTTGGCGGGCGTGCGTCTTTCCTGGGAGAAAACACACAGCGTTGAAGCGCATTTCCATCAGTATCTACGTGTACTCCTAGCAGTGTTTGAGGCCTTCTCTGTACCGTGTATTCCAGAGCTATGGATCCGTACCTCCTCCCGAACCTGTTCCCGGCTGAAGCCTACGGTGTTGCGTGGGAGCGTAACCTCGCTGATAATGGAAAAAGACAAGGGAAAGGCTGTCTGTGTGTTTTGCTGGCTGTAACGGCATCATCGGACGCGACAGTGAACTGCTTTACTTCAAAATGTGGTCAAGAGATGGACAGGGTGGGAAAATACGGCCCCTACTCCGTTGAAGCATAAGTCTGTCAAGAGACCCGTGCGCGGGCGAAGAACATTACCATCCGCATAGCATACCACTCGAGCTAGATTTATCGTCTAAGCTTGTAAATCCGTTGCGGAATATCTCAGCAATCATCCTGTCCCCTTTCCGGGTTATTCAAGGCACGTTGGGGGTGTAGGATCACGTACGGAACGTTGGCGGAGTGTCGAGCGACTTGACAGACTTTCGCTTCAACAGAGCAGGCACAGCAAATCCCAGGCGTCCAATGTTCAGTCAGACAGCGCTAACTGTATCCGCCTAGCGCAAACAGCACAAGATCGGACAGTGTGCAGCTGACGTGTCCACTTGCGCGAGAAAATCGTCGTCTGGCGCTCGATGTTTGACGCCCGTTGCGCGCGACGTTCGATGCTGGGCTATATGCGCTAGGCGTTTGGGGCTAGCGCGGTGTGAGAAAAGGTTGGCCGGCTGGGTGCGCGTCTGTCTTTTGTCTGTCTCCTCCGCAGCCGACCAGCGGTTGATTGACAATTTTTGACGCCTGTCCGAATTGTCGAGATGTCCAGACGTTCGAAGTTGGATCCCTAAGCACTAACCGAATACGGCTTGCGGAGAAAAGCACAAGTTCAGACGTCTGGACCATCCCTCCGACGGTTCGTTCCAACGCTTGCCGTCCCATCGGTTCCAACGTTCGATGTTGTCCGCATGCTATGCATGCGGCTAGTCGGATGCGGTTAGTGCGGGGGTTTGTTGGTGGGGATGGTGCAGCGAAGTTGAAGCTGTATAGATCATGCTGAGAAAGGTTTGTTCTTACTTCTTTTTGCTTTTCCCTCTTTTTGTCTCTCAATCTCTTGTTCTGTATCCGTCTTTTTCTCATATCCACGTGCAGCGGCATAAGAACAAGCATCCCGCATGTCCGATGAGGACAGACTTGCTTTGCGGAGGTTCTTTGGTAATGGAACATCTACCACTGGAAGGCGGTGCGGCTCTGAAACCACGGAGCATTTTGTGTTCTATCCGGTAGTTTTCTTTGTGTTTAGGTTTCAGCACAGCACGAGCAACATCTGCACGCGGCCAGAGTATTACAAAACGACTTGTATTAAGAGTTTGAGGCGGCTAACTGCCTGACTTGCATATACACAAATTTTCTGCGGCAGGAAGCTGTATCTGTTGCAAAAAACTACTTCTCCAGCTTTAGTACCAATCAGTCAACACTCAACACTCTCAACAATGGTGGTCGCAGTCGGAACACTGGTCGTCTCAGCGGGTGTGGGACAAGCAGGAAGTAGCTCTCCCGGCGGACTACAGACAGTGCCATTAGGGCCATCGGCGTAGCAAAGCCCTTCCCAATTACCTGTCAACTGGAATGAGCAGTAGGAGATAACAGGAATATCATACCGTCGTCCTCGCAGTAACAGTAGTTTCCGATGTTGTTTCGAGGATCAGCACTGTTCGCAATTGTTAGAAATCTTCTACAGGTGCTTAGGAGTTGATGGGACTTTACTGGTTGTAGCAGGGACGAAGCTCGTGGGGTAGTGCATTAATAGAAAGCGCAAGCGCGAATATGATTATTGTGTGCGATTTCATGCCTGTGGGATGCTTTTGGGTTTGATGAGATTGCAGTGTTTGAAGTTTGAAGGAAGTCAAATGGCAGTAGTTAATAGTGAGGAATAGATTGCGACGACATTTTATATCCGAAACAGCACATCGGAAGCTTTTCTACTAACTGTGGTACTGCTAGAACTAGATTGTTCTGGATCTGGAAGTGTAGCTTTCCCTAAACTTCGATTTTAAGGACAGAGTTTTAGCGGCTTTGGCTGCCGTACAAGAACCATTCGTCAATTTGAAAAGAAGTGTATATGGCTATAGTGCTTACATCTGACCTTGCGCCGATATATTATATTAAGTCCTTTACAAAATTGAGGCTTATCTACTTGGGGACGATACTATTAGTTTGATTTGCATACATATGATCGACGAGATCTTACCGAATGTAGATAGGGCGGCGTCAGCATTAGCAGGAATCTAAACCTTGAACGTCATTCCTACACAGTTGGTACGTATGTTTTAACCATATGTGGTAGTAACACTTGTTCTCTTACGTACTTATGAGCTAAGAGGCACAACGCCGTCGTAGTAGCGTACCAGGTATCGAACTTACGGATTTGGGAGGCTTCTATAAAAATGTTTCTTGATTTGCGCATAGCAAGAGAAAATAGTATAGTATTCATATAAATCTATCCAGCGGAACATCTAATAGAGCAGCAACCAGAGATTTTGAAGTTAAACACTCATACCCAAACGCAACAAGGCAAAGAAGAAGACAACCATAGGTACTAAAATTACCGCTACTCTAAAACAAACGACTTCAATACCGGACAAGACTCTATCCATAGCTTGAATGAAACTATACCCAAAGCTAAGCGCCGATAGACCCCATTTCTTTGCTCGACCATCATAACGTTCATCATGATAAGCTCTGGAGCGCCTTCTCTATTTATTAACAGCTCTCCTTGGTCATTTCGGAAATACATTGCATCAGCCTCCTCATCTTTCGGGTCTGGCAGGCCCTTATCCGCATGCCAAGAGCTTGGATCCGGGGTCCATTCGTATGCGATGATGGAAGTCGAAAGAGCAATAAATTCCATTTGTATTTCTTCATCGGAACCCATAGATGGAAATAAGGCTTTGTAGTTGTTTTCCTGAAGTATTGCTCGCCCCATTTTCTTCCCTTTGGCATTTCGAATGTAGACTTTTGTAGGTTCAATATCATCTTCACGGGAAGGAACAAGCCAAAGCGTTGCAGATTGTGTGTATACCAGGATACGGTTAGGAAATGAAGCAAGCTGGATATCTTCGGCTGAGAACTCTTCCACATAGGCATTTTCGCCTCGAGATTCTTGCCAGAACTGTTCGTATGTCGGCCACCGGGATAAGACGAATGATTTGAATTGTGACCAAGGGATTTTCCGATCCAAAAGCAAAGACGGAGGGTCTCTTTTAAAGCTGCCTTCCCTCCAGGCTATGGCCGCACCTAATGACGCGAGGTTTTGGACGTCATCATTCTCTCGAAATGACCAGCTCCTTTCTGACTGTTCTGGGAATGAGCGGATGGGGACAACAACATGATTACCGGCTAGATCGGTTTGTACAAAAGCCCAGGACGCAAGACTTGCGCCAATATCAATATCATCGATAATATACTTTGAACCGTGTAGAGATGCCCAGGACCAGGTTGGAAACATGTCTTCGCCTTGAGTGGTTCGATGTACATGAATACATTGGAAGTCAACCCAAAGCACGGCAGCGTCAAATTCCCGCAATGGCATCCCGTAGATGTGTTGGTCTCCATAGAGGTAATTTATGATACCACTGAAAGCATGCAGGACATCCTCGTCATTACTTATATCTCGAGAACTGTAGCCATTTACAGCTCGGAAGAAGTCAAATCCAAGATCACGTTGGCGACCAAAGACATGGCCGGTCCCATCGCCTGCTTTCCCAGCTTCATTAAGCGCCTTGGACGAGGTACATTCAAAGGCCGCAGACGTATTACGGAAGAAGAGTAATCTTTTCGAAAAAATAGCTTCTTGGTATGTCCATGCTCGGGAATTCCATATGGACCATGTAAGAGAATTATACAGTGTCTGTGGTTGTTCGATGAGTTCAATGTTGCCCCATGGTAGCTTGAGCTCCGGCATACGTTTTCGTGAGAGACCCGGGAGACCGTACTTTGCGTCGCTTCCTTCACATGCTACGATCGTGAAGGAGGGATGGCTGTATATAAGGTTCATCTGATTTATTTGTGCGTTCAACATTTCCATATCATCTTGTACGATGCAAAGTGCATCAACCCATAGGTAGTTCTTTCCGAGTCGACGGCAGGCCACCATGGCATCCTTGATAGTGGCTGGGAGATCGACACTCAAAAGGCTGTCTTTCCTTTCAAGTGTATTGATGTTTTCAAGCGTTGCTCGAAAAAAGGTAGTGTTACCCCAAACATAGCTTAAGGCGGCATATTCAGACAGAGGTGGGGGCCGAACAACGCAGAAATTGTCGACATCAATGAGTCTGAAGCCCGTTGGTTGGGGGTCCAAGGCGGATACAGAGCATTGAGCTCCGTGGCTTGTGCATTCATTTATCCATTGAGAGAAGGTCGTCCAGTTCGGCTCCTCCGGAATCAAAAGACCCAAAGATTTTTCCACATAATGCTGCGCTTCGGGTCCGCTTTGGACGACATCAATTGCACCAACCCGTTTCCATCCGTATCCATGCTGATCGTGGAGGTAAAGCACGATGAAGGTAAAGTCATTCTCATGGGCACAAAATGAATCGCCAGCTCGATAGAAACTGGCAACCAGCAAGCTATGCTCATCCTTTCCCTCGTCTTGGAATCGATCTGTTATAGCTGTTGCCATTCTGCAGAATTGGCAGAGACGGCGCTTGCGTACTTCTCCACTGGTTCCCAGAGCGATATCCATATTCCCAAAGTTCGATTGGTACCTCGGATTAAGAAGTATGCATCGCAAAACGTGCTCCATTCGAAGATGGCTGCAGAACGAACATTGGTCCGATGCTTTTTCCGGGGAGCAATTCGTACATGGTGCATGGAACATCCAGGCGAAGTCGAGCAATTGACACTGTTTATCGGAATGCTTCGGAAAAGCATCGAAAATAGATTTGCAAAAACAATAGTCTTGGGCAGTCGACGCCAAATCTTCTATTGTCGATTTATCGAGTGGAGTGTCCATTTTTACGTGCAATTGCGCAAACGTTGGGATCGTAGCGGTGGATCTTGATAGAATAGGAAGACAGCACTACTAAAGGTATACAAGTGGATATAAGGTTGCGAGTCGGTAGCTCTGCTCAGCCAGAAGATCCCCAAAGGATTCAAAAAACAAGGAATGATGTTGCAAACCGAAGCGGATTGCGGTGGGCAGGACGATGTTGATGAAGGTGTAAGCTCGTCCGTCGGCTGTCAGATTACTACTTACCCCGCTTTCAGCTGATAAATGCTCACTTGGGATCCTGAGGTAGCGTCCAATCATAATTAACTGTACCTTGGCACACGAAAACGCAGTGGAAGTGCAAGCTTTTCAAGTGACTACAAAAATGATAAGTCGAGAGTACAAAACACTTCACAAGAATTACCGCTGCCTTTGCCCAAATCATCACTACTTGCATCTATTCACTCAAGGAAGGCGTACTATTGCAGGAAACAGGCAACACCCGCGAATCAAAGTACTGATTGGGCCAAACAGACGTCTCATTGGGCCAATCAGGCGTCTGATTTGCGGGCGTTGCCTATTTCCTGCAACACATACTAACTACTCTCGGGATCTGTAAACTGGGCAAAGTTAAGTCTTAGAAAATAGGTGAAGATACTGTAAAATCTGCTAAAGTATTTCGATAATAAAGATACGTGTAGTGTCGTAGAAGCTTTGGCAAACATTACAAAATGTAACCAAAGATTGGCTAGCAAGTGTGACTTTCTTAATTGTGAAAAAGCGCGGTGCATAAACAACACCGATGACATCAAGTTTTAAAATATGCAGAAGACACTTCGGGCACATGTTGCATCTTGTCATAATTTGGACGCATAGATATAAAAGTACAACAAAAGAAAAACGAGATGAATGGGCATCTTCCCCTTCAACACAAACCGATTGATCACAAATACTCAGTCCCTCTGCAGCACATGAAACAAAGCCTGCCTATGCAGCGCAGCAAAAACATAAAAAGTTGCTTTCCGACCGGCCGGAGACCCGAAGCCGCGGGTACAATGCGGCTGAGGTGCAGAAGGATGGCGTGCGAAATAGAATTAAGACGTCACTGCATGCGCAGTCGATCCGGAGGTGGATCTAGGCTCCAGCGGTTCGGGCCGCCTCAGCGCGGATCATAAGGCTGCTTAACACGACGTCAGTAAGTCCTTACACGACAGACCCTGTACTTGCAGGAAGCATCCTTTATATTAGGTTTCCTTTTGGTTGTTTCAGGTCCTCGATGTCTTGTTCACCGCCTATACCCCTGCTGTTTTTTCTGAGCGTGTGCTTTGGGTCTGGATGTCTGGCTTGCCTACGCTAAGAAACACTTGCAGCCTATTCACTTTTTCAAATGCAGACGCATGTATGCTCATGCCCGCATCTTCTCCAAGAAACAAAATCTCCGTAGAAGTGACAAGCATTCGCACGGTGACACAACGCAAGATCTGTACAACAACGCCAACACATCAAACATACAAAAGACAATTAGATTAAGGAGTGTACCAATTAGCTACATTATCATACGACATCAATCATAGCCAACACCAAGTCTCTACCCAATGCCTTGAATCAAGCATTGCAGTCACCGTAAAGCGGCTGGCAGCCCGCACCACAGTACAGATCGGACGAGCCGCAGTAGTTGTAACTGCTGCAGCAGTTTCCAGCGCTGGAGCCTTTGCAAGTAAAGCCGCTTGCGGCGCCGCAGTTTCCGTTGGGCGACGGCTGCGTGCAGGTTCCGAAGGCGATCTGGCAGCCGCGGTTCAGCGCGCAGTAGGCTTCGGTGTTGCCGCAGTAGCCGGAGGAGCTGCAGCAGGAGCCGAAGGTCGAGCCCACGCAGGTGTAGCCCGTCGTCCCGCCGCATTGGCCGTTGGGCGAGGGGACGGCTGCGCGCTTGTCAGTGAGGGACTTGGGGGTGGGACGGGGGAAATACCTCTGGCTTCGAGGGCTGGGGCGGCGACGGCTCCATGGAGGAGGAGAGCGACCATTGTCGCGGTCATGGCGTTGATCGTGAACTGCATGATGAGGTTGTTTGTCTTGTTGGTGCTTGTGGGTGAGCGTGTGTTGATGCTCTTCCCACGTCCCACAGCTCTTTATATAGACAAAAAGCTCGGCTTCACTTCACCGAGCAGTTCAACCTTCGATCGGCCCATGCTCGTAAAATCGCTCCTGGCTGCCACACCATGATCTCATTAAGAGCGTAATAAGCACATCAACCACGCCATGAGATCATTAAGAGGGCGTAGTAAGCATGTTGATGTTGTACCCGTATCCGTATTTTCGGTGACGGATGGTCATCACCATACATGAGGCGGCCTTAAATGCCTATCTAAGCACGCCTCGCAGGGACGCGGCTAATCAGTGTTACAATAGGCCTGCGGGGTCATACGATGTCAGTTCTATCAACTTTAGCCGAGAATGATTTCTGCTTCCGGTTAGCGCACGCCATCACACGGAGCTTCTCGCTGTTTTGGATAACTAGCCATACAGGCTAAGCCGCTTTTGAGTCTTATGGGTGTTTTGCTACCCCGCAATAGTACTTTGAAGCTCGGATCTCGACTTAGTGTCTCTCTGTAGGACACCTCGTGCAATCTCTATGCTGCCGGGCACCGGTAAGCCCGGCTCAGCGCTCACTCTAATCAAACCTGCTTGTGACACTAAAGCCAACCTCAACACGAGCAAGACATAGCCGAAGATCCCCAATTGCGCTAGGCGGTTCTATCAAAAAGGATTCGTATAATTGATAAGGGCGCTCGGTGCTGACGTCGATCTTAAAGCCGGGGTGGATTATGCGTAAGCTCATCGGCGCATGACCCTTGGTCTCGGCCCGGGCGTGCCGTGCCGATATACTACCTACGCTATGCGGTTCCTCCTGTGAGAATTGGAAATATGACCTGCGTATCAGTGACGGCACTCCTTTAATTCTTGATTTCGTACTTGTCTGTTCTTGTTTATGAATATGTACTCGCTTTAAAATGGCTTTATTGCTAGCAACAAGAAAGTGTGCGTGTTTATATAAGTAACTGGTTGCAGTGACAGAATACAAATGTTCCTAGATCTCGGTGTCAAATTTAATATACCCAGGGGTTAAGTCATCCCTTCCCAACCTACCCTCTTCTCGAAAGCCCTAGAGCGCGACATCTAGCCATTTCAACCCACAGTAAACCAAACCAAAGCAACGAACTCCCAATTCCCAATTAGCATCGCCTCTTCAAGCACACCCCCAAAACCTAGGTATATCCGCCCATATATAAACAGAGCGGAAGCATAGCGCAAACCTACAATACACGAACAGCAAACAGCAACACACGCCCCTCCCCCCCCAAAATTCCAACCCAAAACCCAACTCTATATCTATTCTATCCCGCCCTAGCTGCCAGCCAGCCCGCCGGCCACAACACAACGCAACACAGCTCCCAAGCATGGCATCCCTCGCCCACCCAGCAAAGCCAAAATCACCAGCGCGCACACCAAACGCCTCCAGCGAGTCTGAGCACGACGAGCCAGAAGACCAGCACAGAACAGGATAGGACATTGGTTAGTAGCGTTGTTATGTTATGGTTCGCAAGCAACCTACGTATCAACACCCTTAGGGCCGCTTAGCAACACAAGCAAAGCAGAGCAGAAACTTAACCTTCTTCGCGCACGGTGGCACTGGCACGCATTAAAGGCAGGCAGCGTTTCCGTCCACCCGCGCGGAAGGCTTGACGTTCACGCAGCCAGATACCTGCGAGAACAGCAGCGGGTAGGTATACTTACTGCGCGTATGTAGATACACAGGGGACCCATGCCTTTTAATCATACCTCGCGCCCGCTCTTCCCCAGTTCTTTTGGTATTCCTCCCTCACCCACTCATTACTCACGCCCTACCCACAACCCCCCCCCTCGCCTCCCGCTCCCCCACCCCCGCCGGCCCATCTCAACCCAGCACATCCCGCCACGTCAAGTTCGAGAACAACGGCACATCAGCGTTACACGTCGTCCCCTCATCCGGCAGCGTCCCGTCCAGGAAATACTTCGTCACGGCCTCGGCGGCGCAGCGCGACGGCTGCGTCAGCGTCGTGTGCTGTGTCGGGAAAAACATCAGTCGTTAGCGAAGTCCTTAAAGCAAGCCGCACAACAACAACGTCCCCGAAAAACCAACCAAACAACACAAAAAGTCCATAAAGAAAAGAGAAAGAGCTCAACCTACCCCCACACCCTCAACAACAACCAACCTCGCCCCCTCAAACCTCCGCACCACCTCCTCCGCCGCAGCCAACGGTGTAACCACATCCGTCCGCAAACTCACCACCAACACCCCCTTCCGCGGGGCAACTCTAAAATCCCCTTCATACCGCTCCCTTGCCGCAAACGGCCACAGCGCGACCAGCATCTCAAAGTACGCCGCCTGCGTCGCGTCCCACGCGACCTTGCTCTTGCGCTTGAGGTCCGCGAGGACGGGGAGGAAAGATTGGAAAGACGGGTTCCGCGCAACGGTGTCGGACCCTTTGATCGCGTACCGTGCTTCGGCGTTCTGTGTTACGGCTAGGTTGGAGGGGCCGTTGAAGATGGGGGCGAGAATGCCGGGCGCGAGGGGAATAGAGGCGTTGGACGCCGTGGCGTTAGTAGAGGAGGCCGCCGCATCGGTGTAGCTCAGCAGCGCGCCCAGCACGCCGCCCAGCTCGCCCCACGCCGGCGGTATGTACAGCGCGAGCAGGAGGTAGTTGCGCAGGGCCGTGTAGTCGACCAGGACGTCCATCTCGGGATACGGCACCGGCGCCGTCTTGACACTTTCCAGCAGCGCGTCGATGGCGGTTTCGAGCGCGGTGCGCGTGGATGCGTGCGCTGCGAGGGCGCATTTGGCCGGCCCGGCGTCGAGGCACCCCGAGAGGAAGGTGTGGTATACGCCGTCGGTGTTGGTGTACATGTTCGTGTCGCTGCGGGCGTTAGCTTGCTGGCTGGAGGTAGCGAAGAGGGAAAGAAAGGTAGGTAGGAGGAAGAAAACACGCACTGCCCGCCCCAGTACTGCAGCACATCCATCGCGCCATCCAGCACGACCCGCTCCACACGTTCCGGAAACATCGCGACCGCCGTCGCGCCCAGCGCCGTCCCATAACTGTAGCCCCAATACCTCAGCAACCCGTCCTCGCCCAGCGCGTCCACGACGCTCAGCAAATCCCGCGCCGTAGCTGCCGTCCCGATATGGCTCCCCCATTCCACGGCCTCAGCATCCGCCTTGCACGCTTCCACGGCCAGCCGCGCCGTCGCCCACGCCGTGCCTAGCGCCGTGTCAGACGCGTTGGCCGCAGGCGCCGGATGTCGCGCTTGCGCGGCTGCGTAGGCAGTGCTGTTCGCGTAGCAGGAGAAGGGGAGCGTGCTGGCTGTGCCGCGCGGGTCGTGGATCACGAGGTCGTGGTAGCCGCCCGAGGTGCTGTGAGCATGGAGAGTCGGAATTAGTCCCACTCAGTCAGGCAGGCAGGCAGGCAGGCGGGCAGGTCTTGCGCCTGAGTTTGTGTTTGTGTAGGTTTGTCTAGGTACTCACGCCATCAGCTGCTCCGCCATCCTCGCCAACTCAACCCGCCCGAATGCGCCTGGGCCCCCGAGGTTCACGAGCACGCTCCGCCGCGCGGGCGTGTCTTTCAGGGCGGGGACTTTGAGCAGGTTCAGCGTGAGGGTTTGCGTGTTGTTTGGGGCGGTGTAGTCGAGGGAGACGGTCAGGTCGGCACATTGGATTGGCAGGGCGCTGGTTATTTCGGGGGGACAGAGACCCCAGGTTAGTGCTTTTGCGGTTGTGGTGGTTGTTGTTGTTGTGGTTGTTGTTGTGGTGGTGTTTTTTGCGAGGGCTGGGAGGGCGACGAGGGCGTGGAGGAGGAGGAGGAGGAGGGTGCTGGGGAGGGAGAGATGGGGGTGCATTGTGTCTGCTGGGTATAAGTTCGGTACGGGAAATTGGGGGAGGCAGTGGTGGAGGGCAGGCCGTTAAAACTTCACCTCACCCCTCCTCACCCAAGTACCCCAGGATGTAATCCTCATCGCGCGCGCTGACGTCGATGGCTTGTTCTCATTTACATAGGCACCGTCGCATGCGCATTGGACAGCCTTACACGGGCACGTAGAGTTGGCCGCGCGGAAGCGGCTCAGCACACCTCACCTCACCTCGCCTCTGACATCAGCGCTAGCGAGCCGCGAGCTTGCGAGGGGCAGGGCTTGCGAGGAAGGACTTGCGACCAGCAACGCTTGCGAGCACGCTGACCACGCCGCCGCGATCCGCAGCCCTATGCCACAACCGTCGGCCGCACTGAGGTAAAGCAGCAAATCGACGCGCCTGCCGAAGAGAAAGAGAGAGAGAGAGAGAGCAGAGGGCCCGACGCGCATGGTGGTGGTGGTGTCATAGTGTCGTGGTGTGTCAGACACAGAGGACGCGCCCTTCCCGTTTCCCCGCACTACCTACGTTTCCCCCGCGTTTCGGTTCGGCTCGACGGCTCGCCCAAGTCCCGTCCCGCCAACGGCCACCGTCTGCGGATGATTGAACTCGCTGCTTGGTGACCTACTTTATGTAGACACAGCTGCGACAACGTATATATCGGAGCGCCGTGTGCCTAACCACTCCACGCAAACCACACCACACCCTTGCGAAGTCACCATAGCCGCTCCTGCTTTCCCGGCCTACACACCTACCTAGGCAACTACCTTACGCCCCCCAGTCCGGTCACATTCGCCCACAAATCCACTCCCTCACGTGACTCCGTCGTTTGTCCCCCCAATTGAAGACCCATATGAGGCTCCGCAATCATCGCCTACTAGCGCGTCGCTTATGCATGATTTCGCAGGTATGACGTTGGAGGATGGCTGGGAGTTTGTCGGGGCCTAGGCGCTTGGGCTGCGTGAGATGATGGTCGAGGACCTGATGCGGAAGAGGTGAGGGCGCGGCATGAGATTTTTCCTGTGGAGGCGGGGTGCTTTGATGAAGAGGCTCAGCTGCCAGAGCGGAGAAACCAAACCAAAGCCAGCCAACTCTCCTGCTCAGTTCTCGTGACAAAGTTCTACGGCTACCCTGCACTACGCGCGCACTACCTACTCCTACAATCTCTGCCGATCAACCTGCCTGACCAGCGCTTACCTGTGTGGCTCTCATCCGCAATAATCTGGCGCCTTGTGCTTCTACGGCGTACGGGCATGCTCGTGCCTGTGTGACCGCCCTGTGTGCGTAACGAGCAGCGCAGCGCAGCGCAGTGATTGTGTGGGCTTGCTGGGTCGTTGCTGCTGCGCCTACTTGCGGCGCTCGAGACAATGGCGCTAAGGGACAGATGAAAGTAAGGTGTCTGCGGTAGGTTACGTTGCAGGTCGTGATGTGATGTGATGTGGCGGTGCGGTCGCGTGCGGTCGCGTGCGGGGCAACGGCTGGTGCGTGTTTTGACGCGTCACGGCGCGTCTCGTTTTGCATCTCCGTCCTTCTTCACGCTTCACGGTCGCGCTCTTGTCCTCCACATCGCCACAGGCCTTTCATTGCCATCGAAGCTGCACCGGCATCGACGAGATGCGCGCATCCATTTCAACCACGCGCAACCTTGGCGCGCCCGCTCCACGCGCCAAAGCTGTTTGTCCTGTCGCGTGAGCAGTCGGCATGTCCGAGAACACTGGGGACCTTTCTGCGACTGTCCAACGCGTACAGACATTGCTGGGCCTTGGGATAGAGTTGAGGGATGCGATGGGCGTGGATTGGACGATCGTGTTTTTGTGGATTGGAGAAAGAGTAGCGGTTGAAGAGCAAGCGAGTCTCGGCGACGGTGTGCTAAATCAATCTTGATCTGGGAGCAGATCCGGAGAGTCCAGATGCTTCCGCAGGTGGCTTCGCAATCTTCATTTCCACCTGGGTCCATCGTGTCGGCCAAGTCCGGGTTTTAGCACAATCTTGACTACGACTTGCACGTGGTGCACGGATTTTCAGCCGCAAACTAATGCAGCCACAACATTAGTTGACGCCATAAGGGATTTAGCTCCGGAATCATGCCTTAAGGAGGCACGCAAATGAGAAGTCCTATACTACATAATTGTCTTCTCTTCTTCCTATGTCCATTTAGTCTACAGTTGTCGCTCGTTGCCTGCTCGTCGTTCTGTTCCCGTTTCTACATCTGCGCCAACGGATACTTCCGCTACACGGGCACTTCCCAAATCCCATCTCACTCCTTTGCACACCCTCATTCCGCGCGCAAGATGAAATCTGCACTCATCGGGGCAGTCGGGCTCTACGCGGCCACCGCGTCTGCGCTTCCCGGCCCGCTCGCTCAAGCGCAATGCCCCACCGCCGAGTAAGTCGTCCTCTGCACAAGTCCGTCGAGATGATGGACTGACACAGCACAGGACCTTGACTGTGACGACAGCATTTAAGGAGACCATCGTCCAGACCAGCACCTTCACGGACCTCCGCACCAGCACCTCGACCATTCGTATTCCGCCCGCGGTCCAGACGCAGACGCTGACGCTTCCGGCTCAGCCTGTCACATTGACGCTGTCTGGTCAGGCGGCGCCCACGACTGTGACGCTGCCGGGCGAGGTGCGTACGGTGACTGTGCCGGCGCAGGTTGCGCCGCCTGAGACGGTTACTGTGCAGGCGGCGAGGAGCACAGTGACTTTGCCTGCGGAGGTGAGGACAATCACTGTGACGGCTGTCCAGGGCGTGGCGGCGCAGACTGCAGGTCATGGCGAGCAGGCCCAAACTGTTGTTCAGGGCGGCCAGACCAGGACGGTAACTCTGAACGGCCAAACGCAGACAGTTGTTCAGGGTGGCCGGACTCAAACCGTCGCTCGCGGTGCACAAGTCCAGACCGTCGTCCAGGACGCCCAAACGAAGACAATCATGCAGAACGGCCAAACCACGACGATTACTCTTCCCGCGCAGACGACTGTCGTCACTCTGCCGGCTACGTCCACCAAAACCATCGTCCAGGAAGCAAAGACGCAGACGGTGACTCAAGATGGCCAGACAAGGACTGTCACTCTTCCCGCGCAGACGTCCGTCGTCACTTTGCCAGCTAAGGACGTCACTACTACTGTCACGTTGCCGTATACCACTGTTACGCTCACTGCTAAGCCGACTAGCGTGGCCGTGACGTCTGATGCGGTTTCGGAGGCGAGTGGTTCGACTTCCTCTGCTTCCACTGCTGTCGATGTTTCCACTGCTGCGGACGTTTCCACCACCACCACCAGTGCATCTGCTACTGGTGTTTCTACTTCTGGAACAGCCACATCTACCGGCGCTTCCACGACCGGGATTTCGACCACGGGATCGCCTAGCACCAGCGATGCCTATGCTACGGGAACCTCAGCTGTCACTGATGCTTCTTCAACTGCAACCTCGGCTACCGAGACATCCACATCCGCTGGTGTTTCCGAGGCTGATGCCTTAGCGATGGAAACCACTTCCTTAACTGGTACTACCGCTACCATTGCGGCTACTACGACAGAATCATCGGCTTCGGAGACGGCTATTTCAACTGATGTTTTGACGACTGATGCTTCTACGACGGAGGCTTCCAGCACTACTGACGTGTCTGCGACTGAGACACCGACGGCTCTGGAGACGTCTACCATCGTCAGCACTACGGAGGCGCCCACTACCTCGGAGGCTTCCGCGACGGAAACGACCACGGAAGTTCCGATCACCTCCGAGGCCCCCGCAACAGAAACAGCGACCGCGGAGACAACGTCCACGGAGACTCCCAGCACGGAGACACCCACCGCCGCTACCACCACAGCGACTCCCACGCCCACCAACCTCATCAAAAACCCCGGCTTCGAAGATGGCCTCTCGCCCTGGTCTATTTCGCCCGAAAGGGGCTCAAGCTACAGCAACGCAGCAGCCAGCAATTCCAACAGCGGCAACAGCGCGCTGCAAATCACGTACAACAACGGGGCCAACATGGGGTACGGCGGCGGGACGATAAGCCAGGAAGTGGCGTTTGTGGCGGGCCAGACGTACGTCATCAGCATGTCGTTCAGCGTGCAGCAGGGCGAGCTGTGCTCGCTGTCGGGGTCGAGCCAGAGCGGCAGCATCTGGGGTGACAATGGCAATGATATGCCTGGCTGGTATAGCTTCGATGAGACGTGGACGGCTCAGGAGGGCGACCATAGCTTGATTCTGGGGCTAAACTGCTTCCACACTGATATCGGGGATGTGAAGAGTGCGTGGTTTGACGACGTTAGTGTTTTTGCTGTTTAGGAGGGCGCGTTACTGTGCTGGAGCGATGTATTGTTGTTGTTTTGTCAGCTTAGCGGGTTATGGCCATTGTGTATGCGCTGCTGCATGAATTGATCCGGAAGTTCGAATCTGGTCGTCATGGCTTTTTCTTCTCTCTCGTATCTTACCTCTCCTATCTTACCCGGTTTTGCCTCGGCATCCTACTCCAGCTTGGTCCTAGCCCGTGTGTCTGGTAGGCTACCTACGATGCTTTGCGTTGTCTGTGGTGTGCGGTGCAGTGCGGGGCGCAGCTGTCGGCGTTCTGGCGTCTGGGCTCCAGCATGAATGTGGCGGGTGGGATGGCGGAGATGGTGGTTGTGGTGGGGGGTTTGAAGCGAATGGGTTTGGCTTTGGGGCTGGCTTTGGAGCTAGGTGTGGGTGTGGGGCGCGCGGTATCTGTCGAGAGGGCGGTTGAGATAGTGGGGATGTTGATGCGGTTGTTGCTGCGGAAATGATGTTGAGGCACGGAGAGTGGCTGTGCGTGGATGGGGTTGAGGGTGAGAGGATGGCGTTTGTTGTTGGGCTTGGATACTATCACTGATTGCTCTTGCCTGTTGTACAGTATTTTGCTAGTTTTTGCTGCTTTGAAAATCTGGAACGTGATCGTCTGGAGACCGTAGTGGTGGCTTTGTGGGCTGAGCGAGGCGGGTTCGCTGTACGGGAGGGTTTTTGGTGTTGATGAGTGAATGGAAAGGCTCGCAGTTGGCGGGCTTGTAGCTCGAAAGCACTAGCGCTGTGGCTTGGGTGACAGTGAGAATGTGATTAATTGCTTAGCAAATGGTTGCTGGCGGTGGTAGTGGTGGTGATGGTGGTGATGCGGATTCAGGTGATGTCTTGTCTGTGTGGGAGGCCTTTGGAGTCAAACAATGCTCGCTTTGTTGCTAACGCGATCTTGCACACCTCTCTTTGTCCACTTCTGTGCGGTGTTTTCACGGTGGTATGCGAGACATGTCGGAGCTTCGGTGCGGTGCTAAGGAGCTGTCGAGGCTTCCGACGCGCCTTCCTTCTTTCACAACGCTCCAAAACAGTACTAGCGTGCGGGCGCACGGCCCGTTGACGGGCGCTTAGGTGTCTTCTCCAGCGACGCAGCCACAGACCAAAACCTCTACAATTCTGTCAACTTCACTCGCAGGGCCACCAAAATGGACGACAGCGCGTCTTTGGACGGCACAGAGCCTCCCGGCTCCGACTCGACCGATGGAACGCCTGAAACTGTCTACTTTCACCCGTTCGGCGACATCAAGCTCATTCTTCTCGACGGAAAGAGGAACTTCGTTGTATCTTCCGTGGTCGTGTCCCTGATTTCTCCCTTCTGGATGAAGTTGTGCGGCCCAGGAGGTCATTTCAAGGAAGCCCAAGTATCAGCCACGGGAATCAGAGAAATCGATCTTCCAGAAGATAACCCCGAAGCCTTGGCCTTACTTCTAAACATTGCCCATCTCAGATTCACCGAAGTCCCTACAAAGATAGACTTCAAGCTGCTCGTCCATCTTGCTATACTGACCGACAAATATGGCGCAACCAAGTGCATCCGCCCATGGATCAAGAAATGGATGGATGACCTGGAACACTTGATCCATTTTAGTGGGCACGAAGAATGGCTTTGGATCGCATGGGAATACGGCAACTTGGAGCAATTTGAACGTATTTTGACGCGCCTTTTCCGCGATGTGGAAGTAGACAGTCATCGCAACTGCTTCACATCGTCTGGCGTTGTCCTTGCTTCGGTCGCCTGCGGAGTCGACAAGTTACCCCCCGGTGTCACAGGTTGGTCACATGTTTTAACGAGAAGTACATCACGAGTAGTGCAGTAAGTTAACATAGATTCCAGACAGCATACTAGATGCTCGCAGGGAGATGATCCATCGCCTTCTCGAAACTATCTACAGACACGTAGACAACTTCATCGTTGCGTCAAGGGAAGGCTGGACCATATGCAAAGACAGGACTAACCAAAATCAATGCGACGCTATAACGTTTGGCTCTTTAACTCTTCAACTTCAAAAGTTTGGACTCTGGCCTTGTCGTAAACAGGTTTCTGAGGTAGACATGAGCGTCAGTTCCCTGTCGACAACGTTGCTCTCTCTGGAAATACTCTCACTTCCACTATCTCTAGCCAGCTTTCACAAATCATGCGATCTCCAAAAGCAACTGAAGCTCTCGTTAGAACAAGTTGGTATCATGAGAACTTCTGCGGTTACAGATGCGCAATGGACTCATATCGAGCGCCAGAGAAAAGAACTCCTTTGAGGGAACAACTGGACTGAAAGGAACGACGAGGAAAGTTGTTTCGTGTGGGAAAACCCTTACGATTATCCACAAAAGTTGAGGTTTCATACGATCGGTTCTTCTGGGGACAGCAAATTGGCTACAAAAACTGCAATGCAATGCTCCAGCTGGATAGCTTCATGCTCTTCACTCTTCTAAATGACATTTTGTGGAAGCAGTTGAAACAAAATGCGCTGCTCCCGTGATTCTGGTTCTCTTTGTCTGCCAGCTCTATTCAATCAATGCTTTTACAATGCTATCCACATTGTCTTAGTACCCAAGAATTCCGCTATTGAAAGAATCTTACGTACTACACAGTCACGAACCACGCGTAACTTGCCCCCAAATTGCGTTGCAGACCTATCAAAAGCGTATCCATCATGTACCAAGCTCACTCGGCACAACCGACCCGCAGGACTGTCATCGGGCTCATAGAACCGACCCGGAGCTTTCTCCTTATTTTTTCTCTTGCTTGCCTGTCCGACCGCACTGTGCAGCTGCGCACTAAACGAATAAAGGTGAAGAAGTTGTACGTAATATGAAAACGATAATGGTTGTATGCATTATGTGTTTCGCTGTTTGCAGGTAGTGCTTGCCGCGGCGCTGGGTTTTGGTCGTGGGTCTGTGGCGGAGGCCATGTTTAAAGGCGGTGAATAGAACGTTTCGTGATTAGAATGGTGCTACCACAACTTTTAAACAATCATTGCTTCAAAGTTTTCAGCGTACTCAAGCAAAGAAATGTGCACGGTATAACCATAGATGTTTGTGAAATAGCAACTAGATTTGACACCTCCGCAAGCGAACGTCTTCCTGCGAACTTCTCGAAAATGACAGAATAAATCATCAAACACAAAAGAAATGGATAAGGCCACTACTTAGCACTATCTAGATATGCGGTCAGTTGCTTTGTAAGTGGCTGTTTGTACGATTGTATAACTCTTAAACTCACTGTTTTCTTGGAAATCAAGGATGTTTTACACATCGCCATCCTCCGGTGGTTGCTTCCAGCTTCTCTTCAAAACTCCGTCTCCAATGTCGATTCCCCATCTGAATTTGCCTTTGTATGGCATGGCATCTTGTGCTTGCTTGCTTTAGGTGTTGTTGGGGTCGCTGTCATGGCGTCTGTCTGTTTCTCCCTCACTGTTCCGATTGGAGGTAGACGCATTGTCGTTGGGCCCACTGTTGTTGTTGAGTTCAACGTCAATGACTGCATTGTCGGTAGATTCGATGTTGGTAGGTTCATTGTCGGTAGGTTGGTTTTTTGCGGGCTCATTTTCGGTAGGGCCGTTGTCTGCGGATCCACGTCTACTTAAATTTTCGCCTTCTCCCCCTTCAACCGGATAGATTGTGTCATTTAGCCTGAGGTTGTCTTCCTGTTCGTGATCGTTGCCGCGATTATTATCGTCCAGTGCTTGGTTTTCAGCTCGTCTGTCTCCTTCATCACTACCCTCAGTATCATTTCGTGTGCTGTTCTCGTGTCCATTTTGTCCATTGCCATGCGCAATGCTATCCATTCTATCACTGAATGATTGCTGGTCTCCTGAAACATCCTCCAGCTTAGGAAGAGGATTCGTCACCGGCCACCATCCCAGCGCTGCTTTCTGGCTCCAGAGATCCGTGTCCCGTGTACTGGTAATTTTCTCTTTCCTCAACCTTTCCACAAGCCCACTGTTGGCCAAGAGTGAGGCTGTCGCAGCAATAGATCCAGGGTTCTTCGGAAGGATAGCGTCATTTGGAAACCGTAAAGATACCCATAAAAGAAACAGCAGCATCATCCCAAGCAAACACTCTAGTACGATTGTAGGTGTTAGATTCTGGATGATTCTAGCCTCTGGGTAGGTTATGGTGCCGGAAAATGTCTGCGGCGGGGCCCTTGATGCATTCGAAGCGAGCGGACGGAGTTCAGTGAGCATGTTGGTGACGTATGAGGTGTAGACGGCTTCTGATGCGGCAATGAATGTGTCCAGGTCTAGAATAGCTGTGAGATTGCCGAGTTTGTACTCTGCATATCCAGCGAGAAGCTCGAAGAAGGAAGTGCCGCTACTGCGTGATGGCCATAGTGTTGAGCTACTGATCTTACCAGAAGCGGAGGCTGTTTGGTCCAATAGGTTTATTGGGAAACCATTATAATACGCTGCCGCTGGAGCTATCGAACTTGAGTTAATGTATTGGCTCCCGCGTCGAATAGTTGATGTATTAACCCTAATGGGGTTCCATGAAGAAACATCCGCGTTGCTTTTCCGTGAAAACGTCGTGTCTACTGTAATTCTTGTAAGGTTGCTACAGCAACTTACGGATCTAGCAGTTGGTAGGAAGACGTTGAACATATATGGCTCAACAAAACTCCCAAATATATCGTCGATATATATTGTGTTTCCAACTGGTCCTTCGATGTTTTGGAAGTCAGCTAGAACAATCTTGTAGCTTTGTTTCCGATCGTGATTTGTCGAACCCTTGAATCTTTTAAATTCTCGATAGCTGCATGACTCTGATCCAGATTCAGCAGAAAGGTCGTCCCAAGCCAGACCCACATCGCAGTCGTGATGGAGGCAATGAAAGGAAAATTCGAAGGCTTCTCCGGATGTGCACTTATGGTACCTGGCCGCAACACCCAACGGAAGGATTTTGCATGTGACACCAACCGAAATCGCAGGAATGTTTAGATTGATTTCGGCAGCTGAAATGTTTGTAGCGGATTTTTTCAAGCCCTCAACGTTAGTAATGTTGCTGAGTACCATATTGGAGATAATGCCCGCCCGTGTAGGGATATTAAATTCGGGATTCATAGTCCATCCCGTATACTGGGAGGCACTGTAGACCATCGGATCGTGTTTTTGTGACGACCCATATCTAGCCCGTTGGGCAAGTATGTCCTCTAGTCCCTCAACGAGACTAGAGTCTACTAGAGTCTGTATGTTGTATGTTGCTTGGATGGGTCTGATACCATATAGACCAGCGGCGATAATTTTGATCCCAGGAATCATAAGGATGGCGACCGAGCAAGCAAAGGCGGCGAACCCTAAGCCGTCTCTTACAGTCCGGACTGGGATAAAAATGCTGGGAGCGTCGCGAAGGTTGAACAGAAGTGGTCGTTTTCCGCGTGAGGGCCATTTCCAAAGGCTCTTGTATAGTGAAAGTGTTCTTACAGCCCCATATATTCCAGAACAAGCATAGCCCAGAAGGAGAAGAATGATGGTTGGAGCAAATGCGAAGGCTTATGAAGCTGATTTTGTATTGGAGCATATGCCATGATGGGAATTCGTCCGGTTTATAAGAACAAGCAGGGCTGTCATAATACCGAGAATGGCTGCGATAACTCCCCATTTCGCCCATAACCGAAGTGGTATAGGCCTAAAACCTCTGTTGGTACTATTGCCTGATGGCATTCTGCTTGAAGTTTCTTCGTAAGCATTTTTCGATTGCAGGTATACGGAGCTACGTCCATCGAAACGCAGCCTCCACGTCTGGGTTGTGATGGTATTTTGCATTTATTTTTCGGCTGTCAAAGCTTGCTGTGTGAAAACCCTTTCGACGAGTTTGGGTGAGTTAGCTAAGACCAAAGCTATTGATGCGATTGAGCCTGGATCTTCTCTTATTGTAGACTTTGGCCTAAAGATCGTTTTTTGTAGGATAGAAGCAATTGATACGAGTACTAAACAAGCCTCGAGTGCCCACAGTGATGATTGGCGGAGAAACATCTTTGGTCCGACTATCCGTACGCTTCCATTAATATCTGTTAAACCAAAAGGCGGGCCCGCGCATTTGATGCACAGGTTTGAGTGACCTATATATTCCAACAATATCATTGGAAACGCTCTCACGAGAAAGGATATTTACCACTTGCGCTAATATCCTACTCGCGAGACGCTCCACAGAGGTTTGAAAGAGTTGTGGGTTTGTCAGATATATCTCAGTATCCAAATTGGCGTGATCACTCAATAAGGAGGCAGTGAAAGGATCGGAGCCGACCAATGAATAGTATCTCACAGCCGTTTTTGTCCTATTGACTTCAGGGGGTTGCTCGCCCGTGTCGCCGGCGAGTAAAAACGCATCTTGGCTCCGATCATCCATAGGATTATTAAGGTAGGCGTAGATGGCATCAGTGGAAATTTGTACATCAACCGGATCCGGAGTAGATGGAGTTCCTGTATATCGGAGAACTTCGCCAGAGAGCCATTTTACTTGAATCAGAGCATCATGTATGGTAAAGGAAGGCGAACACAGTAAGCCTAATGTCGTGATGTTGTATGATTCCTCGGAGTCTTCTGGTCCTGTAGTGTTGACAGGGAGTACAAGTGTAGAAACAAGGCGGATATCGTTTGCGTCTTTGTCACAAGTGGTGATGTTCAGGACGCCTTGAACACCGAATTCTCCATATCCAGGATACTCAAGTACCAAGTCCGTAGCACAATTTAGCTCCGAACTGCTACTGAGATTTGCAATCAATAGAGTGTCCTTAGCCAATTCAGTCTCTAGTCCGTGAGAAGTGTTATATGTATAAGGTTCACCTCCCAATTGGGTGGACATATTTATCATCTGGCATTTCAAAGCCGGAGAAAACATTTTCGCCGTTGTCTCCAATGTTGCGTTATTGGTAACTGTCAGCCAGTATCACTCTAACAACGCACAGCTTCAACCCTACGGTTAGTTGTTA